GAGGATCTTCCTAGGGATCACTGATGTACAGGGAAAAATCCAATTCTAACCCTCACCTGAACATCCCAATTCTATCCAGATGTGGTTGCTTGGTAGGATTTGCCGCCAAGTCATTACACATAAGGGTACTGCCACAGCATCCCAGTGAAGATGATGATTTCAAGGTAGGTTCTGCCATTTACTTTCATGCATCAAGAGGTCCTCTTGATGTCCATGCCTCAAAATGACCTCTTTCCTTCAGGGTCAGCCTTTTTCCTGCTTCCATTTTGCCAGCAATTCTTGTTGCAAATTGTGGTGATAAAACCTCTAGACAAAACAGCAGGCCTTTTGATAAGAGCCTTCACTCTTCACTCTGGATTGCTGAATCTGGGTTGTGTCTGAATAAACTTGACGGCAGCCTAGCTGCGTTCTTCTACCTGGCGCCAGCTATCAGACGTCCCTTGAGCAAAAGCAATTAACTGGTGTCAATGGTACAGGATTTCTTGAAGCGCATGTGAATTTGGGGTGTTCTACATTTCGACCTGGTGGCATGAAGACCTTTGCCTGCTTTCTGAGCATTGCATCTTTAGGGATGGTGCAGATGATGTCACATGGTTTTCATTCATATCTCTGAGTTAAGGGAGAGCTAAAGATAAACAGCTTCTTTCACCCTGCTGCTCCCTCAGTGCATCCCAAGGAATCTGCTTAGGCCAAGGGGAAATGTTTCCTTTTTTCCAGGGGCAACTGAAAGGGAGTCCTGAATTATGATTCTTACCGGGGAAATACAGTTCTCAGGATCAAAATCATCCTAGGGCTGTGCGTTCCATGTTCTTGAAACGGATTGTGTGTACATACGTAGGTGTATAATTTCAAAGTATCAGTAAAAAATAGTTAAAACTGGTTCAGAGAAATCATGATCCCTGACTATCCTGTTTTCCTCGCTGTTCTTGAGATTTTACAAGGCATTGCACACACACTTGGAAACATCACTCCAGTAGAAGGGCTGAAAACAGGCTCTTTTGAAAAGAAAATCTAGAGCATCTTAGGAAGTCAAAATATGTAACTAGTATATATATTATTTTCTACATTTCAACCCTGATATGAGATTAAGCCGAATATATCATGAACATCCAAGACCAATACTCAGCCTTAGCGATGGTCTCTATTACCAGACTTTTTTGCCATTTTGCATTAACTATAGACATTTCCACCCCACGCTGTTTCTGCTTGCCAGTTTCTCCCAAAGCAGCTTGAAGCCACCCACTAGTTACCTTTGCTTCAGTTTACCCAGAAATGCTGCAATACCCAGGGAACACCATGAGCCTGTAGGTGTTCATCTCCATTAGAAGAATGAAAACGGTGTTGCCCCATCAGTGTCCTACCTACTGCAGATCTGGTTCAGATCCAGATAGCTACAGGCCCTGAGCTCAATGTAGGAGGACGATACAAGGACCATCCCACTTCAAAGGCTGATTGAAAGGTTAGTCAAGGCCATCTCCATGGCTCTCTACAATCCAAGTGTTTTTCTAGCAGCTCACTGGCTATCACAGACTCTGACACTGGGAAATATTTACCACTATGTAGAGAATAAGGAAGATGACCTTGACGGAAATGTGAAAGAACCGTTACCTAAGCCAAAGGGGCTGAAACATTTTTTAAGTCCAGAGCAATGGGATAACATTCAGAAGTAGCTCAGACAGAGGTCTTCCTAATTCACAAGAGTATAAGAAGGTGGAGGAGGTCCAGCACAATCAGACTTGCAGGATTTTGTTATTATTAGCCAATCTCGACCAAAGTAGATCCAGTTTGGCCTAGTGGTGCAGGCACCAGGCTGAAAACAGGAGACTGTAAGTTCTAGTCCCACCTTAAGTATGAAAGCCAGCCGGGTGAATTTGGGTCAGTCCCTCTCTCCCAGCCCAACTCAACTCACAGGACTGTTGTTGTGGGGAAAATAGGAGGAGGAAGGAGTATTAGGTATGTTCACCACCTTGAGTTATTTATAAAAAAAATAAAGGGATTAAAAAAAAAAGTAGCTCCATCAACTCCTGTGGATGAGTTGATTTCCAGGTCTGGTCTATCTAGTGGAGCTGACCCATTATGGCCCCTTTTTCTGAGTAAACTTGGGTGGGGCTGCTTTGTAGAAGAATTAAAAGTCTAGCCTAGCGTATGTTTGAACAGGCCTGGTTAGGAATTGGTTAATGATGATTTCCATGGTCTGAGAGCACATACTGTCCCAGTAACATCATTTCCCGTGGCACCTGGTGCTCTTTTGAAGTCAAGTTCTGACTAAGTCCAGCCGTATGCATTTCTTTTTCGACTACTGCCTAAGGCAGCGTGTCTCCAAGCATAATTTTATTTAATCTTTGCTCAAGTGTCATAAAGCAATGCTCTGAAATAAGTAAATATTAATCACTCCAGGTAACATTTCAGGGGGGAAAAATAATGCTGTCAGGGGGAGGTGGTGGAAAAATGCACTTTATATATATGACCTTGCTGGCAGATAATAACAAATTAAAATGACTTGCAAATGAAAAGACCATAGATTCAGGCCTTAAATGTAGTCTTGAGGGAATGCAGCAGTTAGCAGCTGAGGAAAATACACTGAGGCCATGGGTGTGTGAGACAGGGAAAAGGATTAAAGTAAGTGCATTTTTGGTCAGAATTCAAGGAATGGGGTCCATAATATCTCCAAAATGGCCCCCGCTTTCTTTTCTTTCCAGTGAGCCTGGAGGAAAGGGGACCAGGGACCAGTGAGTGCCTCTGAAATTTGGAGAACATAGTCTTGGTGTTCTCTTAAAAAGGCAACCTGGGGGGCTTGCACATTCATAAAATAGCTGGCAGAGGGGGAGGTGCCAGTCACACAGGATTGATTGATTGATTGATTGATTGATAGGTTGATTGATTGGATTTAGAGACTGCCTGGCTCCCAAATGACTCTGGGAGGCTTACATCTCAAGAACAAGAAACAATAAAATAGAGAAAAAGAGCCATCCACATTCCAGAAAAAGAAAAACTTCTGGAATAATTGACAGGTGGGTGCCATACAGGTCTTTGGGGGATGCTGTTCTGGAGGGCAGGCACCACCCCAGAGAAGGCACCCTTCCTAGCATCATCCCCAGTTGGTCCCTACTAGTGTGTCTGCTGGGCACAGTTGCAAGAAAACACTGTGGGATACAGCCTTCTATAATTTCTTTTTTCAGAGAAAGCCTACAGGGCCTATAAAAGGCCAAAAGGCATTCCTTTAAATAGAAATGAGTCTAAAGACAGTCTTTTTGCTCTGCAGCAATGCTGCTTTTCATTTATGTATTCTTTATTAATCCCTAAAAAAACCAAATCAGGTGCTTGGAACGAAACAGGGTAAGGTCTGTTGGGGCCAGCTGTCTACCCCAGTATTGGCTGTGACCTGCATTTCTGCAACTAATAACTAAGTTTACATCTGTTCCTCTCACTTAGGATGACATAAATGGTAGTCCCAGTTCCCAGTGGTTCACCCATGGCAGCTCTTTTTAGACCAGGAGGCTTTAGCAATAGTTACTCATGCCCTCCAAAACAGATTACTGCAATGCCCTCTACTCAGGGCTGCCTTTGAAGGTTATCTAGGAACTCTGGGTGGTACAGAATGCAGCTGGGGCAAAGCCATTTCAGCAGAGGTACACTCATACTGTTGCTGTCCATTGATTACCAGAATGTTTCTGCATACAATTCACTTCCATCCTCATGACGTTCAGGAAGCTATTAAAGACCTGGCTATTGTCCCAGGCTCTGGGGCAGAGTGAAGGTCAATAGATTGTATAAATAAATAAGTTCAAGGTGCTGGTGTACATAAGCTGTACATGGCTTGGCTCTGGGTTACCTAGAGTAACATATCCTTCCAATAGAATCTAGATGCTCTGTTCAATCACCCAGGGAGGATATGTTCTGGTCCCTGCTCCTCAGAAAGTTAGGGAGATGGGCCCTCAGAAGCAGGCTTTTTTCAGTGGTGGCCCTGGCTCCCTGGAACACTCCCCTCTTGTCAGGTCTAGCCCAAGAAACTCCAAGAGACCATGCAAATTCAGTCCAGCTATGTTTATTAGCTACAA